CAGTTGTTATCGTATCCAAGAAAACTGGAGATGCACGCATCTGTATTGATTATAGAAAACTTAACGTTATAACTAAAGGAGATGCTTATCCCCTTCCACTCATTGACAACTTGCTTGAAAAATTTAGAAATGCAAGTTGGTTTTCTACCCTTGATCTTACTAGTGGTATTGGCAAGTGAAAATGGAAAAGAGTGATCGTGAGAAAACTGCTTTTATTTACCCATATGGTCTGTACGAATTCAAAAGAATGCCTTTTGGACTAAAGAATGCTCCTGGAACCTTTCAACGTTTAATGAATTTCGTCCTACAAGAATACCTCTATAAGTTTGTAGCAGTATACCTAGATGATATCATAATCTATTCAAAAATATATAAAGAAAATCTACAACATTTGCAAATGGTATTTGAAGCAATCAGAAAGGCAAATTTAATGATTAAATTGAAAAAGTATCAATTTTGTCTTCCAAATATCCTATTCCTTGGACACATCATAGGAAGAAGTGGTTTGCAACCAGATCCTGAAAAAATTCGAAAAATCAGAGAACTTCCAGCACCTAAAGGATTAACTGAATTAAGAGCAGCCCTTGGATTGTTCTCATATTACCGAAAATTTGTGAAAGGATTCTCTCAAATTGCTAAACCAATAACAACCTTACTAAAGAAGGATGTCCCTTATATTTGGACAAACGATCAACAAGAGTCTTTTGATAAACTAAAAGAGAAATTGATTACATCACCAATCCTTCAATATTCTGATTTTTCTAAGGAATTTATATTCTATACTGACGCCTCAAGAGTAGGACTTGGAGTAGTATTATCTCAACTTGATGAAAATAAAAATGAACATGTTATTGCATATGCAAGCAAAAGCATGAACAAAGCTGAGCAAAACTACTCAATTACAAATCAAGAATGTTTAGAGTAGTTTGGGCTATTAGAAACTTTTATCATTATTTTAGCTTCAAACCTTTTACTGTCATAACTGATCACTCTGTCCTTAAATGGTTAAGAGCTTTGAAAATACCAAAAGGATGATATGCACGATGGATAATGGAGTTGCAACAATATGACTTTAATATTCAACACAGACCTGGGAAAAATAATGCTAACGCCGATGCATTATCTCGATTAATTTCTAAAAGAGAACAAGATAATTTCTCAAAAGAAGTCTTCATGCTTATAACAAATGAAAATGATGATGAAGAAATAGAATGGTATATTTCTTCGAAAAACAGTGAAACTTCATCAGAACGTTTACAAGAAGAAATAAACTTGAAGGAAGAATTGATGTCACAATTTTCCCATGCACCTTTAATCACTATGGGATATCAATGTCCTAAAAATAAATTGGAAGATATTTTTAAAGAAAATATCAAGATTAAGTAAGTTATAGCTAATCAACTAATAACTAAAGGTGAATCACAATATAATTATAGTTGTGACATTGAAAATCATCATATCCACACATATTGCAAAGCATGTAAGAGAATTTTGCCATATAAAACAATTGAACATTATTGTATCATTAGATTTGGTCCAGGACAAATTCAAGCAGATATGAATTTCAATTATTTAATTAACGACCTTTGGTGTGATGAACCAGTTTTAGTGCAACAAGAAAACCTCTACTCTCAACTTTATTATATGTTCGAAAACCCTCAACGTCTTCCTGTTTCTCACATTTAAATATTCTGATTTATACCCATATTTATTTAAGAAATATTAGTAATAATTATTTAGAGTGAAAGCGAAAGTGTCTACATTATGATAGGCAGCTCAAATATCATAGAACTCAATCAATATAATAATTTATTTGTTTATATAACTTTAAATCAATTACCCACATCTTTTAACTCAAACGAAATTGCAAAATTAAGAAGACAATCAAAATTTTATATAGTTCGACTCGATTTCTTATATAAGCAAAGACAAAGAAATGCCTCTGAACAGTTTCTAAGGGTCATCAAGGAAACTGAACTAGATGCAATCCTTTACATGATGCATAATGATCTAACAGCTGGACATTTTTCTACTGACATCATGTTTAACAAAATTCGTACTAGATATTATTGGCCTCAAATGTATGAAAGTATTAGAAAATATGTTCAATCATGTGATGTTTGCCAACGACGAGGAAGGCCTAAAACAAAGAATGAATTACATCCTATTCCAGTTGATTCACCATTTTATAGAATTGGAATAGATTTTGTTGGACCTTTACTACGAACTAGTAGAGGAAATAAATATATTATTGTTGTCATGGACTATTTAACAAAATGGTCAGAAGCTAAAGCAGTTAAGGATAACACTGCTAAAAGTGTCGTCAAGTTCTTATACGAAGATATTATTTGCTGACATGGATATCTAACTAAGATCTTATCAGATAGGGAATCTCATTTTAACAATCAATTAGTTACAGAATTGATGAAACAATTTCATATTCATTATAATCTGTCAACTCCTTATCATCCTAGGACGAATAGATTGGTAGAAAGATTTAATAGAACTCTATGTGAATCATTAGCAAAATTGGTTGAAAGATCTACTTAATGTAACCAATATATTTCTCCTGTTCTATTTGCCTATAATACAAGCAAACAATCAGCCACAAAGATTGAACCCTTTTATTTAGTTTATGGACGAAATGCAACGTTACCTATTGATAATCCTGATGATCCTAATGACTTTGTACCAACCAGAATTTTACTATTCAAGAAAGAATTGATCATCTGATCAACAAATTACCCCTGGTGTGACTAGATGTAAAAGTACAAATACAATTTGCACAACAACGACAAAAGAAGTACCATGACAAAAATACAAAGATCTCTGTTTCACATGAAATTGGAGATAAGGTTTTGTACTTCGAAGCTGCAAAAGATAAAACTCATTCTGGAAAATTGGATCAAAAATGGAAAGGACCTTATTATATCCATCAAATCTTACTAAATGGCTCTTACAAGATAAGAGAAGTAGATGGACATGTACTTCGTATTCCAGTAAATAGAGATCTTTTAAAAATATATAAAGAACTTCCTTTTCAGATTTAGATTTTTCTTTTTATTTATTTTTATTATTTTTATTTATTATTATTATGGAATAACTTTATATCGAAGATTTAAATGAAACTTTACTTGAAGAAGTAACTCCTGCTATTCCTCCATATTCAAATAGAATGGACCTACAAAAGAAATGTCAAATGACATATCGAATGTTATTAAGAGCTTTACGAATGAAAGATCAGACTCTTACCTTGATAAATGCTTACTACTTAAGAAAACTTCTAGAAACAGAAACTTCTTCACCAGCACAACGAAGCCAATTGAGAGAACTTGTCACTAAATATTATAGTACTGTCTCAATACGTGTTTATTATCTCTATGAAATGCTAGATGTAAATCAAATTCAACGAGCGAAACATATATCATTGAAAAACCTCTATCAACTCCCAAGCTATGTATACTAGTCTCTAGTAAACGAAGCTATGGATATTTAGGCAGGAGCTCAAAATTTAGAAGGGAAGGATTGAAGCCGTAATCTGTGACTGCGCTAAAATAAAGTCATGTGATCTAAATGATCGACATAGTTGATAAAGTGACGAAGTTGACAAAGTTGCTAAAGTTGTTAACGTTGATCAAGTTGATCAAGTGGACCTATTAGATATATGGATTATATTTATCATATTTATATTATTCTCTTTGTTATATTTGTTATAGTTGGTTTTATATTATTTCATTTTATATAAATATCTTGTATTTTTCCTTGAGTTGAAAAGTAACTCAAGTTGAGGTTTTAGGATAAACCAAGAGTTCAATAAAGGAATCGTTAAATTCATTTACTATTGCCTTTTGTCGTATCTTCATATAGGCGTGATTGTGATATTGTCTTGTATTTAATTCAACAGATTAAATTAAAAGGTTATCGTTTAAGTTTACAGATACCAAGCCAACACTGTATAGGAAATACAGAGAGAACAGACATAACAAAAGAAACAGAAATTACTGCTGATCACATTTGGCACAGCAGTGACATCATCTAATGTGAGATCATTATTGATTGACATATTCCACGTGATATTTGGAGTTGTAATTTCTTCCGTTGATAATGTATATATCTATTTTAAAGTATGTTATTAATAACTTTCTGATTTATAAATTTAAGTTTTTGCAAATAATCTTTATTTTATAATTAAAAGTTTTATGTTTATTTATAATTAGTATTGGGATAAGAGATTGTTATTTTAACTTATCATTAATTATATATAGTTGATCAATAATCAACATATTACATATTTTGTTAAATTATTACATTTACAGACTCCCGCCAAAAGTCTCCGGACGTCATCTTTCAGGCTTTTTTGTACTAATTACATCATGTGACTGTAGAAAATTGTGACTATATAATGTTCTGGTCATTGTTTACTTAAATCAAACCAAATAAATACGTGTTTGGTTTGTTTATTATGATTTTAGATCAAAATAAAATTTTATCTTTTTAAAACAACGAAAATGTCCAAAGAATTACCAATAGAACAACGCGGTGGCATAATTTTTTGCCGTCAACGCGGCGATCGTTATCGAACTATTGCCGCGACTATCTATTGAGAATCTATGGGCCGAAGTCAAGAAGAGCATCCGTGAAAGGAAAAAATTGCCTTCCAACCTTGCTCAACTCGATCAACATGTTATAAGGGCATGGAAACAAATTCCGATACAAAATATCGAAAATTTGGTTGATAGTATGCCGCAGCGAATTCGGGCTGTGATTGAAGCAAATTGAGGTCCGACCAAGTACTAATTATTTATTACTAAATGTGTAGCATATCGTACTTTAATAAATATATTAATAAATATTTTTTAATAAAATTTAAAAATTCCAAGTTTTATATTGAGCCAAAAAATGTCCGGAGACTTTTGGCGGGGGTCTGTATAATACTTTTGATGCAATATTATCTGTATTCAAAGATTCCTTTCCTTTGAACGATAATCTTTTGTTTTTTAATGGCAGAATATGGATCGCACGTTGCGTATATGGATTCGCGTAATATTGGAAGTTTTGATAAAAGTCAAATCTAATCTTTGACACGTGCGGATCGGGAAAAGTTGAAATTATAAAATTTATGTTTCAGGTGACAGACAATCAACCAATGGCCATCTGACAGAAAATCGTTCGTTCTCAAATATGAAACAGTTCACAACTCCTTACTTTGATAAGCAATCATACAGGGGGCAAAAGGAGACTTTAACACAATTCAATCTAGCTATTTTTAAAATCAATTAATTCATTTTCACTACAATATATAAAAATGAACGAATTATTGCGGTTACATCATTAATTTAATTAATTGATAAGCAATCGATTGTGTTATCATTTGTTGTGTTTCATGATTGTGGGAAATTTCAAGTCAACCGATATTTTGATTAAATGAAGTGCATTTAATTGTATCGCTGTATTGCGGTGGATTGAAAATTATTCACCTGGTTGAAACAGTTCCAAATTAAAAATTTCTTTTTCTATTTGACTTTCATGTTTTAAAATCATACAATCAAAATTAAATGTAACGATTAACAGGTAGCTCCTGCATCGATCAAATACTTTTTTAAAAGTATTTTTGGAGTTACGGGTCGGAAAATCAAAGCAAAAAATGTAATCATTTTATTCTCAAGTAAACTTTAAATGGAAAATTGGATTCACTTAAATGGTAATACCTTGACCATTAAGAACGCTTATTAAATCATTCTGATCAACTGAAAATATCAAACAAGCAAAAAAAAAAAAAACTACACACAAAAAATTATTTTCTTTGTTATAAGTAATTCTCCGATTTCGGATTTGCAATTTTAATGTTGTACTCACTTATATTGTGTTAAAATTTCGCATGTAATCTACAACTTTTTACTTAGTTTGTCCGAAATAAATATTGAATGAAAATTTTATTACCTTTATTAGTTTTTTTTTATTTCAAAAAAAAAAAAATTTTTTTTTAAATTTTCTTTCAAATAAAAAAAAAAAAATTATATACATCTATTTTTTTTTTTTCATTACATTATTATTCATACAAAAAAACAAAAAATTTAGTTTTTTGAAATGCAATCTATTAAATGCGTTGTCGTGGGCGACGGGTAAATATATAAATATTCTCTTTTTTTATTTATTTTATTTTAGTTTATTTTTTTTCTTGGTGATTTCAACTCTTTGTTTAAAAAAACAACTTTATTAAAGAGAAAGGTGACCGAGAAATTTATTTAAGAGTAATTTATAAAGAATTTTATTTAGATTTAAAAATATATGTTAAAAAGTCATTATGTTTTAAAGCTAGCACTTACAACGATCGTTGTCTGCCATTCCAAATTCCATCGCCATTAGTGAAAATTGTGATAATTACATTTAGAATTATTTGAGAGTAAATTATTTCTGAAATTTATAGGAACGAGAGAAATTAATCCTTTACTTTTTTTATTTAATTTAGAGCTGTCGGGAAAACGTGTCTTCTTATAAGTTATACTACAAATGCTTTCCCTGGCGAATATATTCCAACCGTGTAAGTAACTATTTTTTTTGTTCTCGATGATTTCTATTTCCAAGATTGTAATATTCAAAAAAAAAAAAAATATAATTGTTTTTGGGGGATAAATAGATTTGATAATTATTCAGCGAATATTATGGTTGATGGAAAACCGATTAATCTAGGACTTTGGGATACAGCGGGACAAGAAGATTATGATAGGTTACGTCCGCTCTCATATCCACAAACCGATGTATTTTTGATATGCTTTTCATTAGTCAGTCCACCTTCCTTAGAAAATGTTAAAAATAAGGTAAGTTGCTTGATGTGATAAATGACTATGACTTTTCCTAGAGAGTGAACCTTAACAAAATTCTTACTGATTATTACCATAATTATAAATTTTTTTTTTTTAAAAAAATAATAATAATAATCATCTCTCTATAGTGGTACCCAGAAATTTCTCACCACGCTCCAAATATACCAATTATTCTGGTTGGAACAAAGCTTGATCTTCGTGAAGATAAAGATACCATTGCTAAATTACGTTTGAAATCTCAAACACCAATCACATATCCCGAAGGATTACAAATGGCTAAAGATATTGGAGCCGTGCGTTATCTTGAATGTTCTGCCTTAACACAAAAAGGATTAAAGAATGTTTTTGATGAAGCTATTCGTGCGGTTCTTTCACCTAACCCTGTTAGAAAGAAGAAATCAAAATGTGAGTGTCAAATGATTCGGTAGTTGAGTATATTTTTGAGTGTACACTTGTTAAAGATTTTTTTTTTTCTTTTAGGTGTCGTCATGTAAAAGCTCTTTGAATTTTGTTTAAATGAGAATGAAGTGTAGCTGTTGTAAGATATTACAAATGTTTGTAAATTAGATATAAAGATTCAATCAATAGATCTTTTTTTATAATTAACAATCAATTACTATGCTAGGCGTAGTAGTGTTTTTTGTATTTAAATTTTTGTGTAAAAAAAAAAAAAAAAAAAAAAAAAAAAAAAAAAAAAAAAAAAAAAAAAAAAAAAAAAAAAAAAAAAAAAAAAA